AACCGGCTTGGGAGGGAGCCAGCCGCCAGGCGTGTGGGTGCGCGCGCATACGGGAGTGTCACCGAGAGAGAACCAGCCAGGGGGCGGGGTCTTTCACCTACATAATAAAGCCTTCATACAAACCAAAATGGGCTGAGTCCCAGGGCTTCCATGTTTATGAACAAGAACATATGTGCAAGAGAATCCTGACTAACATGTTGTAGTGCCTTCAGACACAAGAACATCTCTACAGTCTTGAACGAGAATGTGCTACCGATACACTACCCAGAAAGTAACATCTCTGTGGCCCTCGGTTTAGAAACCCACATCTATCTTGTGTGCATTCAAAAGGTTTTGTGGGAATCTAAGTGGAAAGACAAGAGTTGGACTCAAGGCACTCTATACACAGTTTTCAGTTTTCAGAGTGAGTGTGATGGGTGATAAGGTGGAGAGGGGTGATTGACAGGAGGAAACGGAATTCAGGTTGCAGACACCATAGTTTAATGCGTTCCTCTCCTAACCAATGCATGCCTGGATCCTTTACACACATTCTGACAACAACCCTGGGAGACCAAAGCTAAATTCGAATTTCCTGAAGGCAACTTAGAGCCTAGTGATGCAGGACTATGATCCCAGCCCTCAAGAGCCAGAGGCAGGAAGATTCCAAGTTCAAGGCCTGCTTGCCTGAACTATGGAGTGAGTCACAGTGCCTGAAAACTTGGTAAGATCCTGTCTCAATCTAAAAAAATTAAAGTGGTGGCACATGCCCACAATTCCAGCCCATGAGAGGTGGAGGCAGGGGGAATCAGGTGTTCAAAGTCATCTTTGCCTACATAGCAAGCCTGAGGTACAGCCTGGGCAATAGGAGACCTGGAAACAAGACCAAAATGAAAGTGAAAAAAGGGGCTGGAGACACAGTGCAGGAGGAGAGCACACTTGCTTAGCACGACAAGGGTCCTAGTTCAGTCCCCAGTACTAAAAGCAAGAAAGGGAGGAGAGGGGAGGGAGGGAGGAGAGAGAGGGAGAGAGGGAGGGAGGGAAGGAAGAGTAAAGGGGAAGGAAAAAGAGAGACAGAATCCCTAGAAAACTAGAGTCCTGCTAATTTAAAAGAAAAGCTGGGGATATGGGTCAGCACATATAGGGTTTGAGCCCTAGTACCAAAAGAAAGGAAAAAGAAAAGGGGGAAGGTAAACCGAGAAACAAGACAGACAAAATATACATGGAAGTAGCAAAAAGGCAAGCATCCTAGAGCCAGTTTGCTCATAAAACACAAATTGTGAAACAACGTGCCTCAACAGAAGCAGCACATTTTCTACCTGGCATTGTGACAATCAAGTTTATGATGAGGGAAATCAAATGCCTCCTGCAACTGGAACAAACCCCCCATCTCTCCCAAGTATCCTTAGAAAGCATCTGGTGGGAACTTTCTGTGCCCCAGAGTTCCTGCAAAGTTTCTAATAAGCAACTCTGAGAATGTTTTCCTGAAAGGTCCTTCATGTGGGTTAACTGGAGAACACTCAGAGTGACTCTAAAAAAGCAATGACACATGAGGCCAAAATGCACAGGGTCTTGACACAGCTCTGAAAAGGATTTTCACATTCCCAAGGGTGAGCTTCATAGTGTCCTAGTTCCTAACGGCATCTTGGGGATTGCTACTGGAGCTTTGCCTGTCTTCGTGCATAGGTGCTCCTGGCCATTAGCGAACAGGGCCTGGGAACACCTAGCATCCCACAGCAGGCAGAAAACACTTCATCCCCACATCTCTCCTAGCTTTTGAAATACAATGCTGGCTGGGTGGGGCGGTGGTAGTGCATGCCTTTAATCCCAGCACTGGGGAGGCAAAGATAGTTTGAGGCCAGTTGGGTCTACAGAGTGAGTTCTAGGACAGGCCCCAAAGCTACACGAGGGAGAGGGGGAGGAAGGGAGGGAGGGAGAGGGGGAGGGAGGGAGCAAGAAGGAATACAATGCTGAATCCTT